CCTTTTTTCCCCAAAAAACTAAATTCTTTAACCCAAACATGAAGGGAGAAATTACAGAGAAAGGTATTCAGTAATCTAGTTGTTCAAAACCGCATTGTTCCTGATCTGATACCAGCTGGGGACCATTTGTTGCATCTCTTCATTCCCCATAGTTTCTATATACACCAGTCAGTCACGACATGAAGCCTACTGACAGGTGAAGTGAATAATACAGATTATCTTGGTGTAATGTCATCTGTCAGGGGATAGGATTTGTCAGGCAGCAAATGAACAGTCAAGTTCATTGAAGTTGATGTGCTGAACACAGGAAAAATGCAACACCACAATCTGAGAGACTTCAACATGGACCAAACTGTGACAGATAGACGACTTGGTCAGAGCATCTCCAATACAACAGGTCTTGTGGTGTGCTCCTGTTAGGCAGTGGTTAATACTTACAGAAGTCATCCAAAGAAAGACAACCGAAGAACCAGAGACAGGGTTATTGGTGACCCAAGACTTATTAGGTAGCATTCTGCTGCTAAGTGGCATGAACATAACGGAAACGCCTTTGTAGTTGGCCCGTCCAGTCAACAAATAGTATTTACCAGCTGTAACTACAGTCCTGTGAGCACATCAGAAATTAAAGAATGCTTGGAATTACCTACCTTGAAGTAGGTACTTGTTACTCCTTTGAAAATGGCCCTGACAGAGGTTTGATAGGGGTAGTTTATGTGGTTGGAACATGTTCAAAGGTTGGAGATGCCAGAGAACGTCTCGCAAGTTCCTGCAGTAGAAAACAGCCTGTTGATGCACACGGGGAGCTTGGAACATGACAAAGACTTCAAGGTGTAGACTTGACCTCTAAATTCCCCAGATCTCAATCTAATCCAGCATCAGTTGGGATGTGCTGGAAAACACTGTCTGTCATGAAGGCCTTACCTCGCAACTTCCAGGATTTATTGGGCTTATTGATTGGCCAGGTGGTTTTAATGTTGTGGCTGTTCGGTGTATATTGGCATGTTAAGTTGTCCAGAGAAGGCAAGAGGCCAAGAAATGAATCAAAGCCTCACTACTTCCTGCCACTGTGCAAAAAGGTGAAGCAAAACATGGCAAAAACGGCTGCTGCCATCTTGTGCTAGTGAAGCTGACCACCAGTGTGCAGCAGTAGTGACCTCGGGGTGGAGTCTTGGTTTCGAGGTCACGCCTCCTGTCCCATCCAAATGTGCCAAATGTGAACACGCATCCCTGAATTTCACGTGGCTCAGTTGCCACCATCTTAAGTGTGATGGACACACACTTATCATTTTCTAGCTAGCTACTTATCACCAACTTTTCCGCACAGCTGTGCTCTTAGCATACAGTGTAGATTACTACATAGGCATTTGATAGGCGTTGCATAGGAGATAGTGAGCATTTAGCTCCCTCTTGTGGACACGTACAAAAATATATAATGGCACAAGATTTACTCCAGGAAGAAACCAATCCATTTACAAATGTGACACCTCCAACTCGTAAACCTGCAGCAGTAGCAGCTTCATACGTCCTCTGATGGCCGTCTACCTGCAAACTCTGATTAAACACACATCAATAAACCACAATTACCTGAAGGCTATCGTGTTTTCTGAAAGGAGACCAGGGAGCCAAAGGAATTGATGTGATCTCAACAAATAAACTCTGCTGCCTTAATTAGAGTCGAGCCAGGAGAATGAGAGAGTGGGAAATCCCGCTGATGTAAGGAAGGCCGGATATTAAACAGTGCAGTGAGGTCTGAAAAGAAGCATCTGGAAAACAGGAGGGTAAACACGAGGAGAGTGTAAAACACTGAATCACACAAGATGAGTGTCTTTGTTTCAGCCGCGGCAGGTTGGCCATGACTCCTCCAAGGCTGCTGCTCAGATTTAGGTGGATCAAATGCTCGTCCTGGGAACAAGATCAAAGGCTGAACAGGATTATGAAAATCACATCAGAGCCTGGTCATACAGTGTCCTGTTCCTCTGAGAAAACAGCTTAGACGATCCGTGTGGGACAACTTTTATGCTGCAGTTCAGCTGGGAGCAGGCTGGGTCATACCTGTGTAGCAGTATAATATAAATATCATTATAAGCATGAGACAAGGAGTTTAACTTGCAGTTATTTTCAATGTTGGTTCATCTGTTCATTATTCATGCAAATATATAATAATTCACTTAGCCTGGATATATATATAAATATGATATAGGTATTTCTCTTATATCTGTTCTTATATTTTTTGCTGATAGACTCTCTCAGAATACAAGTGACATTTGAACTGCTCACAACTTACGTAACATAATTATTGATTAGCAAAACGGATATGACAAAAACATCCTTAATTAAGGTCCACTTACAGTTGTCATGGAGATCGGGATGTAATACGATCTCCATTACAACACAGCAGACTCAGTAAGCTGAAGAAGTCCATGAAATGTGGTCGAAAGTACAAAAGAAAGCTAAAAAGTCGACCTTGCACCAAGACGTTTTTCACAAAGTTCTCAGAACTGATAACCGATTGAAGAGTTCGCTTGCAAAAACCGATAACTCCATCTTCACAAACCTTCAGAAAACCCACTTTTCCATCGTCTACCTGAGACAATATCAAGCAAACTTAAGTTATCTCTATTTTTGTCATGTCATTTCTACTGAGTCAAATCCACTCAACTTCAGTTTGATTGATATTATCTTAAGCAAACAACAAAAAAATAAGTTTTCTGAAAATATACAAAAATGGAGTTATCTGTTTTTGCAAATGAACTCTTCAGTTATTTGTAAGTTGTCCAATTATTTCGGAAATGAAAAGTACCATGATATTTCTGCATTAAAATGTCTAAAAACAACCCAAGCATTTCTCACAGTGGTAATACTGAGAAAAATCAGTAACTTTATTCAATATGTTTTAATAGGGTGGCCTGGCTTGGATCATTCCTCACACATGGGTGGCACAATGTCTTCTCAGTTTTTTTCAGCAAATAATCCTGTTTTTTTTTTTTTTTGGGTCACTCGCTCTAATGATTTGCGTATGTAGGCCTTGTAGAAACACATGAGAGCTATAAACAGTATAATAAGCTTTTTATATGAACCTAAGTTGATTCACATCTAACCAAAGTCATGCTTTATAAAAATTTGTTGATGAAGCTCATATGATAATTACACATTAAATTACACACGACTTTTTTGTCCAAAGTGTCCTTGTTCTGCTCAGGACTCACACCTAGTAGAGACGTCACACTGTGTCCATCTAGCCTTTAGTGTCTGTCTTTTGGCTGTGGGTTGTGGGTCAGTCTTCCTTTGTTCAGCACTTGTTGTCCACTTGTTTCCAGAGTTCTTCAAATTAGGTTTTATCCCCACAATCTGTACAAAAGCTTCAACTACATCCAAAGCGTCATAAGTGTTATAACCTAAATCATGCACACTTTAACTATGAAAACATATGCAAACACTTTTCAGTGACATTAAGATGTTGAAATGACTTTTCAGTGAGTTATCTAAGGTATTAGCTAGAACTTAAATGAAGTTTATTGGTAATAATGGTAATTTCCTTGATGGAAACACACGTGTCTTTACTTGTACAGGTTCACTGATGGAGGCCGTTGCAGCAAACAGCCGTCGCTGAGCTGTGAAGACAGATGAAGCTGAAGGAAGACTTTCTCCTCCTCAGGCTGCTGCCAAATGAGTGAATCACAAGCTTTTACAAAGGAGGGGACGAATATATTTATATGTCCCACTTCTTTATGACCAGCTATATGTTTGTTTGTATCTAGACTTTAAGCCTCATCTGATTCTTCGTTGTTAACAAACAAGTGAAATGAAGAAGCACCAGGTTTATAATCTGATTATTGTGGTCAATCACACATAAGAATAGAGTGAAGACTGTTTTATTTTGAAAAACCAGCAGACGTAAATCCCTAAATATTAAATTCACAGTAATGGAAGACCAAGAAAACTACCAAAGTCTCACATGTAGGAGTGTATAACCAGCAAATGTTTAACATTTGGAGGGGAAATTACTTCTATTATTAAGTAATTGCAGATAAGTTTTCAGCAAGTCCAGTAAGTCATTCGATTGTTGGACTAATTAGGGCTCTAATCTCATTATAAAATGGTAGAATTACTGTGTTTATTATTCATGTATAAATACATATATAATTGGTGCCACTCGTGAGGAAAAAAATCTGAATGGGGTCGAGAAAAAACTAAGCTTTACAGCTATTTGTAGACATTAGATAAAAATTAAAAAAACGTATGAGTTTCAAATACGTCTGGATTCTGACATCATGATTAAAATAATTTTGTGTGGAAGATTCATTCTTTTTATTTCGTTTGTTTCTATTGAATCATAAACCTGGATTTACAAACCTGTTTTTGAAAGATGGGAAATTGGTAAATCAACCATTTGCAGGCATAAAGTGTCTTTGATGTATACTAAACCCAAGTATATAGTTATAAGCCCTTGTAATCATTTTCTGACTACTGTAACACTTTAATGAAACAGACGTATTTATACACAATGACTGGTCACTTCATAGTGATGGGATCATAAATAATGACCATATATGATCTCTGAACTGTCCAACAGTTGATTTATCTGGTAATAAAAGAAACTGTTCTGGACACTATCATAAAAAACAATTTTAGAAAATATTCTCAATTGTTTTTTCTTCTTGTTCAGTTCCTCCTTACAGACAATAAGACAAGAAATGCGGACATTATTTATCGATTTTTTTATTTATTTATTTATTTTTGGACAATATTTTGTTGGCAGTTATGATGCCTTTAAGTTTTTCACGTAAATCAGAAAACAAAATTGGAGTTCTAAAAACATGTATGCACTTCAACAGTAGTTTTGCATATCTTATAAACATAAACACGTAGGTGGTTAAATTAAACACAGAAAACGCTGTCATTGACATTACACCCATTTCCGTGCCCTTAAAAGCAGGATATCTCGATTATTATGCGGGCAGATTTGGTAGCAACAATAATTTCCCACATGCCCAAGAGAACTTGAATGCAGCTGTAAACTTCCTTGAGGAGCAGTCGCTGCTAGCTCTTTAGCTAGTCGCTTTACGATTAAAATAATGGATTAAATCACAAATAACTTCAAACGTATGACTACCTAGCTTAAATCCGCGGTGTTTCCAAATCACTGACACCCAAAAGCTAACGCTGTTAGCTAGCTAACGTCAGCTACAACTTAGCAATCACTCGCTTCGAGCAGCAATCATGATGGCGTCCAGCTACAACGCCAAAGACGAGGATGGACACATCACTGTATCCGGACCTGGCGGCTCGACTCTGCGGAGCAAGAAGCCTGAGAACACCGCGTTTAAACAGCAAAGACTTCCAGCATGGCAGCCCATCCTCACAGCGGGCACCGTTCTCCCTGCCTTCTTCATCATCGGCCTCATCTTCATCCCCATCGGCATCGGCCTGTATGTCACCTCCAACAACATCAAGGAGTTTGAGGTATCGTTGTGTGAAATGGCAAGACAGCAACACCATGAATCCTACATTAAACATGTGTTTATTCAGCTTAATAGTACACATTGTTACACACATCGATGTTACAGTGTTCCCCGAGGAGCTGCTTGTATGCGCATCTCCGTCACACCAAAGTCCATTCAGAAATTGTATATTTTACACAGATTTGTCATAGTGGGAGTTTTTCGTGTCTCATATTATATGACATGGACGTCATTTGAAAGGTTGCGTTCTAGTGGTTCATTCGGCAAATATGTTTCCAGAATTAGCTTTCAATTTAATTGTCAAATGTAACACATGAGCTACGATAGTCATTTGCGCTGGTTTAACAGTGGTGCTATTCACACAGGGGTGTAAACAGGCTTTCTTTGGTGGAGTCTTGTCCTCCCCAGTACTGAATAAATACCAATCCCTCCCCTAAATATACAGGAGAAACTGTGTTAAACTTGTCCTCCTTTTGTGAACCCTGTCACTGGGTCTGTCTGTTGATGTTTCTTGTGACACAATGACACATTATCTGTGGTGTTTCCTGAGGTCTTCTGGTGTTTTGGGTCTTTCATCATCACCCACCTTAACCCAGGTGACCCTGACAGGTAGATCAAGCCTCAGTTAGCATTATGCCACTCATGGGTACCATACTGGGATGACTGTTAAAACACAGCTATGAATGTGACTGAGACACATCTGAAATGTGTCAGATGAATGTCTGAAACATTGTTCAGGCTTCACTGAGTGTATTCAGGACTTAGCAGAAACATTAATCCACCTACTGATTTCCTATTTTGCTGCCCACGGCTGGCTGTGAGTCAGATTCTTTCCTCCGAATTGAATAAATACCTGCAGCATCACACAGCAGCAGAAGCAATAAGTGCGTCTACACAGCAATAATCTCATTAGGACACGATCCGTCAAGATCCATCTGTTCCACACAGACTCCAGGTTTATATGGTAGAATAATTTGTATTAAAGCTTCTCTGGATGAATCCTGAGCTCCATCAGAGCTATCAGGACTGTTTTTTTTTTTTTTCCACTACTCCTCTATTGTTGTTGCCATGCTGCAGGGTGAATGTAAGGACTGATGAGATGCGTTCATGATGGCACTAAATGATAGATAAAGGTTTGTGTATTTACACAGAGTTAATAAGTTTGTTTGCTGCTTCCAGATTGATTACACAGGAGTTGACATGTCCAGTCCCTGCTTCAACTGCTCCCAGAACTTCAGCTGGAACAGCACAAGGCCTTGTACCTGCACGATACCCTTCTACCTGGAGCAGCCCTATGAAGTGAGAATTATCGTTTCACGTATGCAAATATTCCAAATACAGCCAGGCAGCAACCGGTTGGATAGATTTATCATTTATATTTGTCTTTAAATCTTCAACAGAGCAATGTCTTCATGTATTACGGCCTCTCCAACTTCTACCAGAATCACCGTCGCTACGTGAAGTCAAGAGACGACAGCCAGCTGAATGGAGACATGGACTCTCTCATGGTATGAGTTTATTGAACTTTATTTTTTCTTTCTGTTTTTCTACTTTTTTTTCCTGTTTATTTTGCACCGTGGGGCCTCGGAGCACTGTTTCCTCTACATTCATGTAGGAGTGGCGGGCTGCCATTCACGATCAGCCAAGATCTTGTGTTAATTACTCGTAAGGGCGCGGCCTTGAAAATGACATCACGTCAAGCAGCCAGGCACCAGGTCAGAGAGTCAGAGGAGGGTCGTCTTGGGAAATAGAGCAGCGACTTACCGGTGAAAAGGTAGACTTATTAGCTTAAGGTAACTCAGAATAGATTTTACAAGTTAAATAGATTTTCCCAAAACATTGATGGCCCGCTAACATTACGTACCACATCGGTCTCTTAAGTTAATTGGGCCGGGGCCAACTTAGTGTCGCTAACGTGAGTAAACTAACTGATAGCATTGAGCTAACATCTACACGCCATGATAGAACTGCTGACTGCATCTTCAGATAAGCTTGTTCAAATATTTCTCTAAGAAGAGAAAGACACCTGATGAAGGTGAATAGGGTAAAACATTTAATAATATATCATCAGACACAAACTAGAAACAATTTTTAAATGATTAGGGTGTTGGAAATTGAGAGAAACTGATTATTGTTTCCATTTGTAGGTGAAGACCGACTTGAGAAAGGGTTAAGGGTTAGGGTTGAAAACATTTACTCAGTGCTTGTTGGCAGCCCGCTGACTTCTCGATACATTCAAGGTGATTTTGATGCATTATATTTAAATGCATTCACTGGCAATAGTGCATCAAACTACGCTGAACAATCTCCCTGTAGTCTGAAGCTTTCAATAAGCAGCCAGACTTTTAAAATCTTTTGTTTGTTAGAAAGCTGACATCCCCATCTGTGAACCTTTACTAAGCTCCGTTAAACCTCAGTTTTCATAATTATTTGTGACTTGTCATGATGAAGACTTCAGAATCGCTTTTGTGTGATTGTCCAAATAAGCAAAAAAACAAGCCAACCAGCTCCATTCAATTTTTACAGCTCCTGTTGTGAGTTAAGCGCCCAAGTTGTGTGTGTTGGTTCAGAAATGTGCCTGTCGCAGCTTCAGCATGTGGTGTCGTTTATCTCATCTTAATTTTCATCCTCATCTGTCACAGAGACCCAGCAAGGAGTGTGAGCCGTATGCTTTTCACGAAAACAAGCCAATTGCACCGTGTGGGGCCATCGCTAACAGCATGTTTAATGGTGAGCAGACACTCGCTCTTTATTTTAGAATTATTGCATTTATTGGCTTTTTAAAAATGTCTTATGAAGAACATATGAAACTGCCAAATAATGAAGAATAAGAACAACACATGCAGTCAGACACACAGAGAGGCAGTAAAAGTCGGAGGGTGATCTCATTGGGATCAGCTGCACAGCTAAATAAACACATGTGACTTATCTGATTTGGAGTTCTGTCAGACCGACGGACAGTTAATGTGACCCCATATGAGTTTCTTTTGTTTGAGATGTTGCATCTCTAATGCAGAAGGATAAATCCCTGAGCTAACAGACTGATAGTTTGTTATTGTGATGTTTATTTCCTGAAAAACTGTTATTGTGCTCTCATGCAACATCAGAAAGAGCCATTACAGAATCAGGCTGAATTACCATTTTGAAAATGTCTGACAGTGCCTGAAGCTAGAACTCCAAAAAGAGGACAGGATCCACCATCTTTACTGTTCTTGCAGACACACTGGAGCTGTTTTACAACGACCCCAACGGCACAAAGATCCCGATTCCTCTGACGACCACAGGAATCGCCTGGTGGACAGACAAACATGTGAAGTTCAGGAACCCTGGAGGCAACAACCCGAACCTCACAGCTGTTTTTCAAGGTATCAGCAGCAGGTTTTTGTAGCACATCTCCCGTAGCGGTTACTGACCTTTTCCATTTAACTTTGGTCATTAGGGTTGACTGCTTAACCAACTTATTACTGGGTTAATATAGTGATTCATTTTGATTTTATGATTATCAAAACTTGAAAAACCCACATGCTCCTCCTCTTAGATTTATTCCTTCATACACCATCCTGCTGCCACAAATGCTCACTGAAGCACCAGGCAAGGATTAATGCGCTGCTAAAAACAGTCCCAAGCAAATGCTTAAAAAACTATGTTGAATAAAGCCAAACTCCTCATGTGGGAGCCAATAAACCACCTACAAAGGGTCGCTCGTCTCACGATTTAATGTCAGTGTTTTGGCATTAAATGTTTCCCTTTGACAGTAATCAGCTCGACTCCATTTCTGCAGTTTTGTGCTGTTTTTAAAGATTGTTTTGAAGTTTTACATGAAGAACAGTGAGAAGGAAGCCTGTAAACTAGAAACACAGACTTTGACACCAAAACTCAGATAACATGAAGATCTTTCTTTAAAAAAATTTTCTGTTTCAGTACAGTTTCTCTTCTTGCAAAAAGAAAGCTGGAAGAAAAACTAGAAACTTATTCTTAGCATAAAGATGGAATATGAAGGATTTTGCCGGCCATGTTATTCCACATCTGCCGGAGACCTTTTCATGGATAAACTGGTTGAAGCGGACAGAGCAGTGAGACGTTTCTGTCTATAAATACTCCTTGTGGTTAATCACTGATCAATAATATTGTCAGTGAGAAGGCTCTGCTTCATCATCACTGCCGGTGTCTCCTTCCACTTCAGGAACAACGAAGCCGGTGAACTGGCGCCGGCCCGTGTACGAGCTGGATGCTGATCCAGAGAACGACGGCTTCATCAACGAGGACTTCATCGTGTGGATGAGAACCGCCGCCCTGCCAACCTTCCGCAAGCTCTACCGCATCATCCAGAAGAAGAACAACATAGTTCCTACTCTGCCCAGAGGGAACTACACTCTGGAAGTGGTCTACAGTATCCTTCATGTGAAGCTGCACACACCGCAGCAAACCAGATTCTTATTAAATCCAACAGAGCGGAGAGCAAAGACATGCAGATGAGGCCTTGTGCTGAAACACAGAAAACCGCAATGAAACAATATAAATGGCTGTTTTTATGATGCTGCAGAGCCATGAAAAGCTCCACATCTGTTCAGAGAAAGACATTGAATATAAAAATGAGTAACAAACGCTATTGTGCTAAGTGAGCTAAACAGCAAAATTGACCTGGATGAGAAAACAGCTGGCAAGCTTTATCTGGAGAAGAAAATCCATCCATCCATTATCTATACACCGCTTAATCCTCACTAGAGTCGTGGGGGGCGTTGACCTCCGAGCAGCAACTTACACACTGAAAATGTCAGGTTGTGTTGAAGCTTTGGATCGTGCAGTAGAGGAGGCCTGATGTAGTCTTTCAGCGAATAGTTGGAAAGATGTGTAAAGAATTTGCAACATTTGCTTGAAAGTTGCAGCATTTAGGTACAAGATACAAACAACAGATTGAAAATGTGCAATTCTTTGGGACTTTCAACCCACAAATTTATGAGGACTGTGCTCAGTTTCTCTTCAGAACTCTACATGTTGGTTAAGTTGTGACAGCCACATTAGTACATCTGTGGAGAGCACAGCATTGTTTTCCAGGAATGAATGTGAATAGCAATAGGTCATAAATATCATACAAAAAACTGAATATAATATCCATCCATCCATTATCTATACACCGCTTAATCCTCCCTGGGGTCGCGGTGGATGGAGTCTATCAATATAATATAACTCATCTTAAAACTTTGTGTAATCATCAATGCCGGGACTATTTGAGCCTTTAATTTAGACTGACTGTGTCTTGCAGGACTCTGATGCCTGATGTCGATCCGTTTTCTGACACAAACATCGTCAGTCGTAGTTGATTTGACACTTTTTTTTGTACTCAGAGCGCGATGTGCCTTTGACATTGACTTGACCGATGTATCGATCCGTTCCACTTCACATGAGCTTCTGTGATATAAGTCCTGCAACACCACATGCTGCTAACATCTGGTTTTAATGAGTTCAGTGAGCTCCTCAAGAGTGAAAATATACTCAGGCTTCACCTGTTGAGCACTGATTATCAGAGTTTGTTTATTGTTTTTATCACAAACTTGACAGACTTTTTTCTTTTGTGGCAAATTAGCCATTGTAATGATAAAGTTTTCATCTCTGCATGTAAAATTGTTCAGACAACAACAAGTTTCCCCAATTTCTGTTTTGCAGAGACAGGGTCACAGCATCCTTGTCTTAGTCACATCCAACACGACTGTGATTAGTTTAAAGAAATCCAGACAAGCCACAGCTTTTTTGCCCCCCATCAGCAGAATGATGGTGAGCTGCAGCCAGACCGTTATGTTCTGCAGAGTTGGCTTACAAAGTGAGACTGTCTCCTTTAGAGGTGAACTGGAGGTCCTGTAGAGGGCACTGTTTGTTTGGTTTGATTGAAAGCTGCAGCAGTTTCACCAAGGTTTGCCTTTTGTTTGTGTGATTTGCAGAACAGGGTCTCCTTAATGCAACATCAGCATCATAAAGCAGCATTTTACGTAAACACTGTCTCAGTTATTACTTCAGTCGGTGTCCACAGGGTGACACTTTATTTATCCCTGAGGGGAAATTCTATTTTGTTACATGCACGTTTCTAGCCCAAGAATAAAGATCGAAATATAATCAGAGCAAAATTAAAAAATAAAGGATAAAAAGATACATAAAAGGTTATAGATAAATAGATAGCAAAGTACAAAAAACAAATATCAACCTCTAAAAAAAACAAGAAAACATATTTACACATACAGTTAAGGTGCAGATTGTTTGAATTTGAAATTGAATTACATTTAGTTCCAAGTCAAGGAACAAAGCAGAAGTCAGTGCTGACAAACTGAGTTCTCTGTTTGGTCTGTAGACAAACTGTTTCCATCTTTAACCAGTCGAACCCAGATTATCCCGTCCGCAGCTTCGAGGGCAGGAAGCGAATGATCCTGAGCACCATCTCCTGGATGGGAGGCAAGAACCCGTTCCTGGGCATCGCCTACATCACCGTGGGCTCCGTCTGCTTCTTCCTGGGCGTCGTCCTGTTGATCATCCACCACAAGTACGGCAACCGCAACAACAGCGCCGACATCTCCAACTGAGACACGACGTCCTGCGCTCCAGCTCACCTCTGCTGCAGCAAACAGTGATCCTGTGACACGTCTGTGAGGGTTAATCCAGAGGACAGAGCAGATGCATTATAAAAATGGACATAAAGTAACTTCTTCAACCATCAAACGTGAGTTTTAGTGTTTTAAATTTTGAACAGTGGTCGATTATTTGGCAAAGTGAGAGGAAAAGAAGCCTGAAATCGACAGCCATAGTCAAGATGAAAGAAAAATGAGAAACATCCTGTGGAGGTCAGACAGTTACACACAAACTACACTGTTTGCCAAAACATACATCATTCAACTCAACAAACAGTTGTTGGGTTATAAAAGTCAGTCAACAGACAGTCATGTTGCCAAAGTGCTATCAGCAGAAACACTAATCATAGCCCAACCAAGGGAAAAACAAGAAAATCTGCTTAGGAATGAGTCTGGATATTGTAGGATCTCTGACAGTGCGGTTGCGGTGAGCTGGACTGTTGCATGCTGGTTAGCCAAGATGCTGATCTGATCACCGAGCTGCTCTAGCAGCTCATCTTTGTGCCTCGTTTCGTCTGTAACGTTGTCCTGCTTTCAGACTGAATCTGTGCTTTTGTGAGTCGTCGCACTTTAAAACGTGCCGAATGAATCCCACACCAGAGGGAACACAACATGTTCGCAGTTTGGAAGCTGTACAGAAAACATGTTTATTTTTTTGTATTTATTTTCGGGGGGTTTTATTAAATGTTTGCATCGTAAAGCCAGTATTTGCACGCCAGACCTCAGGGCTTTGAGTCTAAAGTGGGTTTAAAGGTGGATGGAGCTGTGTGTTGTGAGTGTGTAAATATTAACCAGAAAAAGGTGCATTGACTCGATGTCGTCGCTTCATTCCTTGTCGTTCACATGCAGTAATAATAGATTATCAGTACAGCATGACCGAACAGTAACGCAGTGTCAGTACATGTGATTAAATGTGTTTGCCACTTAACATTCACGCTGCACAGAGTGAATAAACGTTTTACAGCCACATTCTGCCATTTTCAGCTGATCCAAGCTGAAGCTGCAGCCAAATACGTGTTGAATAGATGCTGCATGTTGAAATGTGATGAGTAAAAATGTGTTTTGTTTTGGTTTTTTTTTTTACCATATTTTATTGAGATAAACTGAGAGAAGCACTGGATTTGTTTTCGATACTCCACCTGTGTTGTGTTGTTGCTTTAAAAGAATAAATTTGTCATTTAAAAACATGTTTGGTTGGTCTGATGCTTTGCTTTATTAGCCTCATATTCAAGATGTTCCTCAATTAAATTATTGATGAGTGAATATTTTAAATTATTCAAATTATTTTTTCTTTTAACGCTGCACAATAAGCCTTTAATGATACTTTCAAAGGAAATTCCCACAATTCAGCAGCACAAAACAGGCTAAACCTGCTCATAGAAATCGTCTGATTGTGGTGAAAGTTGAAAATTAAACTCTCCGGATAAATCAAATAAAGAAAGTTTTCCAGAATTAATTCTTGTGGGCTGTGAATGCAAGGAAAGCAATTTTTAAGCTTAAAGATGGCAGATGTAGAATGGCTTTTTCTTTTTTATGAAAACATTTATCATAGAATAAGAGCTCCAATGTGTGCATTGTGTAGTAATAAATTATATTTATCATAAGATTAAGCACAAGAAATACCAGGCATATTACAGTCAGGCAGTATAAATAGTGGTGGCTACAAAAACCCTATGTAACAGAATAAACATCAACATTAAGTGCAATATTTCATTCAGAAAATGTTTCATTCAGACCCTTTGGAGAGCCTTCTTGTCTGCTATTGTTCAGCTGGCAAACCAAACACACATGCAGTAACCGAGGATGCTCTCTATGGAGCAGCGACAGAAGGCCACTAGCAGCTTCTGCTGCAGGTTGTTGTTCCTGATGACGCTCAGAAGGTGCAGTCTCTGCTGGGCCTTCTTCACAGTGGTTGCTGTGTTTGTGCTCCAGGTCAGGTCATCTTTAATGTGTACACCCAGAAAGCGAACGTCAGAAACCCTCTCCACAGAGTCCCCACGGATGAGCAGTGGCTGCATGTCTGTCTTCTTCTTTCTGTTGTCCACAATCATCTCCTTTGTTTTAGCTGTGTTGAGGATCAAGTTGTTTTGTTGACACCACACTGACACTTGTTCCACCTCGTCTGGGTATGCAGTCTCATCCCCCCCAGAGATGGGCCCCACCACAGTGGTGTCAAATTTTATGATGCTATTACAAATCTTATGATGCTATTATGCCACTGCAAGGTGGCTCAGTTGGTTAGCACTGTTGTCTCGCAGCAAGAAGGTCACCGGTTCACATCCCAGTGAGGACACCCAGGATTTTTCTGCGTGGAGTTTGTATGTTCTCCCCGTGCAGCATGGGTTCTCTCCGGGCTCTCCGGCTTCCTCCCACACAGTCCAAAAAAATGTTGAGGTTAATTGGTGACTCTAAATTGTCCGTAGGTGTGAATGTGAGTGTGCTTGGTTGTCTGTCTCTAAGTGTAGCCCTGTGATACACTGGTGACCTGTCCAGGGTGTCCCCTGCCTTCACCCTGAGTCAGCTGGGATAGACTCCAGCCCTCCGTGACCCTAGTGAGGATTAAGGTGTATAGATAATGGATGGATGGATGCTAGTGTGGTGGAGGGGAGCACAATCATGAGCGTAGAGGGTGAATAGCAGTGGGCTCAACATGCAGCCCTTCGGGAGCTGGTGCTGAGGCTGATGGCCGAGGAGAGGTGGGGGCCTATTTTCACCCTCTGGGAGCGGTCCGTCAGGAAATCCAATATCCAGAGGCAGATCGAGTGGGACACTCCCAAGTCTGACAGTTTAGTTACCTATCTGCTGGGGAGGATGGTATCAAACGCAGAGCTGAAGTCCACAAAGAGCAGCCAGGCGTAGCTCCCCTGCTGCTCCAGGTGGGACAGAGCAGAGTGGATGGCTGTAGCCACAGCATCCTCTGTGGAGCTGTTAGCTCGATAGGCAAACTGGTGACGGTCAAACCCAGGGGCAAGACAGGAACTGATGTGGGCCCGGACCAGTTTTTCGAAGCACTTCATGGCTATGGGTGTTAGTGCCACTGGGCGATAGTGGTTCAGTCCACTAATGGTGTTCTTCTTCAGGAGGGGGACAGTGGTGGAGGACTGCAGGCATGGAGGGACAGCAGCCTGACTTAGGGACTGATAGAAGATGTTGATGACGACCCCAGCCAGCTGATCTGTACAGTCCCTCAACACCTGTCCTGAGATGCCGTCAGGACCCGCGGCCTTCCTCGGGTTCACCGCCTTCAGCACCCTCCCATCTTAGCACTAGTTCTTTGTGTTTCCACCACCAAAGCACCGGCTCCAGGCTCTCACAACTGTTGCTTAGCAAGCACCGACTCTTTGCTGGGCCACAGCTAAGCACCGAGTACGTCAGGGGCTGGGGGAGGGGGTATCACAGATGTATAGGAATGACTCCCCGGACACACGGAAGTTTTGCACAAACTGTTGCGCGCTGAAGTCCGGTACAATTGTGTCCCACCGGCTCTCGGACAGTCGACCCTTTACGCACAGGTCCCACCCTTGTTGCAGATTTAGCCAATCGGATTACACACACTCTTTGGCGCTAAAACGTCCGGTCAATGGACAATCGATCACGCCGGTGTTAGGATGCCAAGATTGTTTTTTTGTGGAGACAGAGGAAGCCCTGCTCAGCTGCTCAAAGCATTTAGCGCGTAAACTGTGCGTAACACCTGCTTAGTTCATCTTGCTTTTTTGGAGTTTTTTTGGGATCGTTTCGGAGCGCAAAAACATGGCGACCCGTACAAAAAAGAGAAAGTACACGTTAGAGGAGGCCGTGGAGGCCTGCATCGGCCGGGACAGCGACATCTCAGATCAGGAGCAGTCGGAGGCAGAGAGCTACGGTGTGGACTCAGCTGACGAGGACACGCTTTTGCTAGAAGAGGATTCTGTTCTCGTTGGGTAAGGGTCATTTTATTATACTTTGGACGTTATTTTAGAAAAAAAAAAAAAAAAGGTGAGTGGGGTGTGTCAGTAATACTCAGCTGGTGAGAGCTCACAACTAAACCTGTGTAAGTTGCAAGTAAAGCATGAAGTTTGTTTTTCTCTTTTATAGGCCAAGTGATGACCCAGAACTTCAAACGTTTGCTGAGTTTTTTGTTGAAGAAGATGGTAATGCTGAGTAAGTGATTATGTTTTGTAAAAATTATTATTTGAATGTAATGTATTGTAAGTCTATTGAAAGCTGTACAAGACTGTTCAGGCTGTAGGTAACAATGACAGAGTCAGAGAGTAAGATGTGCATTGCAAGGTGCACACTTTCCTCATCTGTGGGGGGTCTTTGTGCCTCGGTAGCAGGAGGCTGCAATATGCATTCTGGAGTCATAAAGTAGTGCTTCTTCTTACGCAGTGTAGTGCTATAATATTTTATGTGTGTGTGTGTTTTTTTTCAGACATTCTTCACAACCTGAACCCAAATCAAGTCCCTCCAAAATTCCACGTATGGAGACAAGAAGTAGTAGGGGACGGGGGAGGGGAGGAGGGAGAGGAAGAGGGAGAGAACGTCGGGTCAGCCACACAAACCCTTCCTCTGCGGAGGGGAGGTGGTGTGGTACTGAGGTACCAGACATTACACCCACCCTTCCCCCCTTTTGTTCAGCACGGCCCCCTGGATCCCAGCTCAATGGCACTGCAGACTACACTGCTTTACAACTGTTTCAGCAGTTTTTTACAACCAAAGTTTTAAAGACTCTGATAACCAATACAAACATGCATGGAAGAACTGCATATAGCCCGTGGGTGGACATTACACTCAAAGACGTCTTCTCTTTTCTGTCAGTTGTCATTTACATGGGAATCGTAAAAGTACCATCTCTAACTGACTATTGGAGACAGGGGAGGTTGTACAGTTTGTCATTCCCTGGGTCAGTCATCAGTGGAAAGAAATTCCTTTTAATTCTTCATGCTCTTCACCTCAGCAATCCACGTGATGACGCTAAAAATGAAAAAGCAAGAGGCACTGCTGCGTTTGACCGCCTGGGGAAAATAAAGCCGCTGTACAACGAGATCAGAAGTGCATGCCGCAACAATTATCAACCTGGCCAACATATTTCTATTGATGAGAGGATGGTTGCTTCAAAGGCTCGGACTATATTCAAGCAATACTTGAAAAGCAAACCTGTGCGATGGGACTTCAAGCTGTTTGTTCTGGCAGACTCGGAATCAGGCTATACATGGGACTTCTTCGTGTATGAGGGCAAAAACAGGGAGCCCAGTAAAAATGGGTGGAGCTATGACTCCGTTGTGAACCTGTTGAACACAAATTTACTGGGCACCGGCTACAGGCTCTACGTGGACAATTTTTATACCAGCCCAGCTCTGTTTCGGCATCTCTTAAAGAAAAACATCTCAGCATGCGGCACCATCAGGCCCACTACACAAGGATTCCCCAGAACAACAGACAATGCCCTGGACCCCAAATCTCCGCGCGGCAGCATCCGATGGATTCGGAAAGACCCCCTGCTCTTTGTCCAGTGGAAAGATACACGTGACGTCTCATTGTGTTCCACCATGCACACCGCCCATGGAAAAGAGACAGTGCAGCGCAGGGTAAAGGACAATGCAGGCCAGTGGTCAGTGAAAGATGTCCCCATCCCCCCAGCCATCAAAGACTACAACAAGTATGTATAATGTAGTGTTCATTTTGCCCTCTTGAAATAGTATTTATATGATTCTAATCTATATGTGATTTTTTTGTTTTAGGCACATGGGTGGAGTGGACCTGTCGGATGCCCTAATTGGGTATTATGAGGTTCTCCACAAGACGAAAAAATGGTACAAGACTTTCTTCTACCATTTTCTGGACATCGCCATCGTGAACAGCTACATCCTTTACAAAGGGCAGTGCAAAACTAAAGGAAACAAACCGATGCACCACAAAGCTTTCAGAGAAACTCTGGTCTTGGAGCTGGCCGATGCAGGATCCACCCAGGCACCACGGCAGGAGGAAAGAAACATGAATCATCTTCTAGTGCACATCAGCAATAGCGGGGACAAATCTCAGGGCAGGCTAAGGTGCAGGAAGTGCCTTGCAAAAACCCCTGTAAAATGCTCAACATGCAACATACCCTTGTGCTTTATTCCAAACAGAAACTGTTATAAGAAATGGCACACAGAATACAAGTTGTGAGTGTCATAGTGCTAAGAATAGGTGTGTAGTTTTAGTGTTTGTGAAATATACAGTTAGCAGTGTTTGTGTGAATTTTAAAAATATATATTTATAGTTGCCCATAACACTTGTTTTGACTCTTTTTTAAAAATGAAAAATATATATTTTGCTTGTATGATGAAATAGGAATTTCTATAGCTAATAGAGTGACTCTGTGTCCAAATGTGGATTCCTCTGGGTATAAGCTTTCAGTAGAGCCCTCATTTATGTCTGTAGGTTCAAGCATTTAAAAGATATTGCACTTTTTCCATACATTTTCAGTGGTGTCCAATTTGGAAAAAAAAATAAAAATCTTTTTTTCTGTGTGTATTGAAATGGAATAACTTTTTACTAGTAGCACCTGGAGTGATTCTGATTGCTGTGGCTAAAACTAGAGAGTGTTGTCTTTACAAAAGGGCAAGTTGTATATACACTCCATAAGGGTCAATAACAGCATTCATGTTAATTTGATGTCATTTCACAGGTGGTTGCATTAAAATGACCCGGAATGATAACGGGCTCAAATGTATTCATACCCTCCCATTAAAGAAGGAAAAAGACAGGTGTCACTGAAATAAGTTGAAATTGACAAAAGTAATAATAAATAAAAATGTAGTGAAAATCATGGCATTGCTTTTGAATTGTGGTTCAACACAAATATTAGAAAAACAAAACAAAAAACAAGCATGATGGGACCCATAAACTATTTTTTTTGTTGAACAACCCTGTGAGCCAATCACTGCAATCAAGTGTTTTCTGTAACTCTCAGTCAGACTTCTGCACCTGTTGACAGGTGTTTCAATTTGGCCCACTGCTCATCAGCAAAGTGCTTTAATTTATCTGGGACAGTTTTTTTTTTTTTTTGAATTATTCTTTTCAACCACAATTCAAAAGCAATGTCTTATTTCACAAAATTATAATTTATCATTAAAAAAAATATTACTTTTGTTCAGTTTCTAGTTATTTGAGTAACTATTGTGAATTTTGCATTTTCTTTAATGGAAGAGTATGAATACATTTGAGGACAACTGTATGTAAAGTGATTGGCTCCATGTCTTGTGCGCTCCGCCCTGTTGGGGGCAGCACAGTGCGCAGGAGGAACAATCTGCCGATTAAAAAGAAAGAAGAAGAACAAGCTGAAACCGGAAGCAGAGTTTTCCGGTGTCCTTGCACGACAGAGTGGGCTGTAGACGGACTGTAAAGATGTTCAGAAACGTTCTTGTAAGTTGATTGTACTCTGTTACCCTGTCTTGTAGTTGTGTTACTTAGCTGAAGAATGGAGTATATGCGTTTGGAAACCAGTAGTGGGGATAAAAGCGCGGCTACAATTAGCCGTAAACTGTTAGCTCGGGGTCAAAGCTAGGTAACGTCAGGATGTCGCCACAAGAGGTACCATCAGCTCCGCATCCCTGCTCGTTTGACCTTTTCTATTGTCTGCGGTTGGTGTAAATGGTGTTAAAATATGTAGGGGTTGCAATATTTAGCGACAGAGGCTTCAGTATGCTCTTCGTGTCCTCATGTGGGGGTGACTTTGCTGCTTCCTTGCTGTTTTCAGGCGCTCCAGCAGGTGGCGCGGCGGACCATCTGCAGCTCTGCCCGGCGGCAGGTGGAGAATAAAGTTCCGCAGAACCAGAAGCATTTTCAGGTAAACTAACCAAGCTCCACAGCTTAAATACACATAATCTCATGTCCAGCTACAGCATTAGACAGCCGTCCACCACATAACTTTTCCTTTAAGTGTAACCCAGCAGACTTCAACTTCATACTGTCCTATGTCCAGCTGGGTTGTAGTCTTGCTTTCTCATTCAAAAGTCAGTCTCTTTTTTCAGTCCAACAGAATAATAAATAATGTTAAAATGATCACAGCCTGCACCTTCATAGTGAGGTGAACAATGTCTCACACCGTCTTTCAGCAAACAACAAAACAGTGATCAGCAGTAGTGCTCTGTTTCCTGCAGTATATACATTAAACATTAACAGTAACAGGCCACAGAACAACTTGACTTGATAGTTGTCTTTATTGTTACCAAACAACCACCGCCACACGGATAATCTGTGGTCACCAACACTGTGTTTTAATGTAACTTAATTCACAGTGTAGAGTTTATTTACATATTTGTCTGGTTCTGTTGTCAGACAGCTTTAATGGTAATTTAATATTGACCCATAAACATTAAATAGTGCTGCAATGAGGACCGAATGTTCTTTTATGTTTGCAGCATGAATTTAGATTGATGACTACAGCTCTGCTACAAGCAACCACCGACAAAAAAATTACAGATTGTCCAACCCTCACTGAGGTGATTTGTATCTTTGTTGTGTAAAAGCTCCAGTCATCCTGAGAAGGTATTTCAAGCTAAATTTAATCTGAAGGAATTTGCAATCTCATTCTTTCATCCCTCCATTCAGACTAAAGCTCTGTTGTTTACCTCCCCAAAACCAAGCTTTTCCAAAAACACCTCCAGAGTGTGTGGTTGTGTAAATGCTAGCCGGGTGTTTCAGTGTGTGCTGGATAAACTGAGCGTTTACGACGATTGCTCTGTGAGGGACGGAGGCAGCCTTCGGTCACTCCTACCCTTCCCTGTGAATAATTTTAAAAGCAGATGAATGCAATAGATGCTGTCAATAACCTGAATTCATGCAGGTTTTGTCAGACGACATCCTGTCTGTGAAATGATGATTTCGTCAAGTTTTGTTGTTTGTCTGCTGAAAAAGATAGTGAGGAAAACATCACATGGAAACAGGGTTTTATTTAGTTAGATTGCTTAATATAGACATAGTATCAGATTCTATGCTTGTCCTCCTTTGTGACCTCAGTACTTGCTATGCTACTCTGGCAATGGGTAATGAACTAGTTTTTTTCTTCTGTAGCATGCAGTTAAACTATCATTATATGATTGTATTATCTTATGGTTCTGCTAAAAAAAACCAACAACATTAGCTTATAGTAGTAACAGTGCACACGTCGAGGTATGAGTTGGACTGAAAATGGCCCAGTTTGTAGCCGTTATTGTAATTAACCACAGTGACATCTGCTGGCCAAATCACTGGTATTACAGTTGAATATGTGAATTAAATCATCGAGTGGTCAGAATACAGGTGGTCCCACTGCTGACAGTATTATGTGGTTCAATAAAACCTGTGATATGGAAGCTGATTACTTTTAATCTGAACTCTGTTTTTAAATACTCAGTCAGCATTAGAGTAACATCACATCTTCACAACTAGAGCTGCAAGAACGATTCAATAAGTTGTCAACGACTGAATTAGTTTCCAGCGTTCCCCCTCTGTAGCAGTAAGATGGATATGTTTTGGTTGTGGACAAAACAAGACACTGGAGAACGTCATCTTCAGCTCTGAAAAACACTGACTGCCTTTTTCTATTGTTTTATATAAAAAATACTTGTCATAGTAATCCCAAGTGAAAATTATTGTTAAAACTCGGTCAAGGTGTCTCATTTCATCTGAGAGTTTATTTTATATTGGTCATACAGCTGCACATATTGATACAAAAAACACCTCAGATATCGTAGTAGTTTTATATCGTTAATTAATTATGCATTTGTTTGTAAGGACTGGACTTTTAGAAACTGTTGCCTCCAAACTTTTAGGCTGTAACCTTAAAAAAATGTAAGTTTTGTGAGAAATATTTCTGATCACGGCTGTTGAAAGTCCAAAAACGGACTTAAACGTTGTCTTTAAAGGTCCCAGAAACACAAAGAGAGAATTTAGAAATGGCTAAAAACAGACAGGACTTTTTCCTTTAACCAGGCCAAAAAAAAAGTAATATTTTTTGGCAGCGGTTTGGAGAGATCAAACCAGAAAAATGTGAGCTAAAAATATATGTACTCTTATTTGCTGCACTGCGTGGAAAAGAATATCTACTCCATGATGGTTTCGTATATGTTTTAACTTTCGATAGTCAGTTTTCAGCTTGTCAGGATGCAGCTCTGTGTCCTCAGCAATAGACAATGTGTTTATCTTCTAATACATATTGATATTTTGTGTGACACTTGCTGAACGTTGCATATTTGCATTTCTTTAGCAGCACTTCTTCTCATGAAGACCTGAACTCTGTTACTGTCAGTTTAGCTCCACAGATAAGTAGCCACACGTGAGAGAACTAATTCTGCATGTTCTACTGTTTGTTTAACTTGCAGTGAATTAGCGACTAATTGCAACACTTAACGGAGTATCATAAGTAGCGTTTATTTAAAGGATTTAAAGGAGAAAAGGTCAGGAGGCTGATCTCAGTTGTTGGAGAACATGATTTAAACAGCTGTACACGGTAGACTAAACAAAGTTGTTTGATGGCTGGTTTGTTCTCTTGCTCTGGTTGTGACTGCTGGAATATGCTTTGTGTAACGTCAGCAAGAGTGGCTGCATGATGAACTGTACCAACTAAAACCATTTTGGGAGATTTTCTTGTTGGTTGCTTTGCCCAGATCATCACAAGGAATTAAAAAAAAACACACACACACAAGACCTCTGAACCACCATAAGGCCAATTTTAAATCTGTGATATTGACCAGTGATATAAATCTCCTAAATGTCAGTGTGGCTGCTTTGAGGAGAATATTGTTTGTGCCACAGTACTGTCAGAAGGCACAGTTTTGCCTTTGGTACCAATATGAAGTGACAATAAGTTGACCCTCTAAACTCCAACCAACTTCTTGGGTAGTCTTTGCTCCTGGCACATTTTGACTCACTGCGGGGTAGTTCATCCCTGCATTTTGTGCATTAATATTATCATTCAATTCAGTTTTATTTAAGCCTTTATCATGCCGGGTCATTTTAATGCAACTGCCTGTACAATGACATCTCCAAATTAAAATGAATGCTGTTTTTGACCCTTATGGAGTGTATGTTAAGTTTGGCCTTTTTTGTAAAGATAACACTCTCTAGTTTTAGCCACAGCAATCAGAATCACTCCAGGTGCTACTAGTAAAAAGTTATTCCATGTCAATAATCACAGAAAAATAAAGGTTTTGATTCTCTCCTACATTTTTTTTTGTTGAAAATAAAGGAGCATAAAGCAGCATTAGGAGGTGGGAACTAAAACACACTATCTCAAGGTTTAGAGTGCTGCCGTCAAATTGACCAAGTATGAAAAAAAAATGTCAGCAAATTTGAAGGTAATAGGAGGTTAAAAGTTCAGTTTTTGAGCCGCCACTATCGCTCACCTGGTTGAGATGGCGACCCATGTACAGGAGCCACAGTCCCCGACGCAGCGGCCATGGGTTCGAATCCCGCTTTGCTGCAGTTCATTCCCTCATTCTTCTCCCCTGCTTTCCTGTCTGTCACTCAACTGTCCTATATAATAAAGGCAAAAAGGCCAAAAAAATAACTTTTTTTTTTTGCTACTCTTCATATCAACTCTAGAAAGATGTTTCACTAGGGTGAGGCTTATAGGATGAGGCTTAGATTTAGTCCTGATCAAACACACATGAAACACTTGAATGCCATTTGAAGTCTGATGATTCTTTCTGTTCTATACATGGGGTCCTTTTTAAAGAATTGCATTTTGGAGTTTAGAGGGTTAATTTAACATGAATGCAAACTGCTTCTCCTCTGACCGTTTCCGGTGTTTATGTAGACACTGTTTGAATAAGGTAAGCTTCTTTTCAGATTTAAATATGTGTAAATTGGATGTGAAATGTTTGCAGTCTCTAACTTTTCCATCGTGTTGCAGGATGATAACGGTCTGCCCGTTCATCTAAAAGGAGGCACCTCTGACGCCGTGCTGTACGCAACAACGATGATGCTCACCGCCGTGGGTGAGAACAGCTTTCTTCTTTGTACCTGCTTTGAACTCATTCAAGCATTCATTTTCATAAGCTGTAGCAATTATTTTTAGAATAGAAAACTGCTTATTGTGAAGGTTATGAAGTCATTTCGCCAAATTAAAACAAAAAAAGTTCACACCTGACTACCTCACTTGACATGTTTATTTTTTTGTGCATATGTATTATATATTAAGTAAAATGTGAACATTTTTGGTCACAGGAGTAACTTAAAAAAAACTTAAAAAGGGGTGGGCTCAGGTCAATTTTTGCATTGTTTTCTTCTCGCCAATTTCTGGAGCAATGTTTTGAAGTGCCATAACTTAACAATAATGTAGCTAGAGTCCTGAATTTTTTTTTATTCTACCAAAGCAGGGTTGCATTATTGAAGACCACATGTACAGTCGTCCTGAAATGTATTCACACCCTCCCATTAAAGAAGGAAAAAAATAGCTGTCACTGAAATAAGTTGAAATTGACAAAAGTAGTAATTAATAAAAATTTAATGAAAATCATGATTTTTTTTTTTTTATTATTTTTTTCAACCAGAATTTAAAAAAAACAATGTCTTATTTCACTACATTACAATTTAGCAAATTTTTATTTATTACTACTTTTGTTCAGTTTCTAGTTATTTGAGTGACGATCGTGAATTTTGCCTTTTCTTTAATGGAAGGGTATGAATACATCTGAGGACGACTGTACATGTCAGTGAGCCTGCATAATCCCAGGAAGTTTTAAACAGCCAGTGTCAAAGTTTGAGTGCATATTGGAATCGACACTTTGACCACTTTAAACAAAGCTGATCCAACCAGGGATCTTCTAGTGTTTTAACTGAAAATGTGTTCCAATCCTCAAAGACTTAAAGGCTCAAGCGGGTCACATTTCCAATAATATTTGTGAAGGCTCTGATCCATGTGGCTGTGCTCTCATGTGCTTGGAGCGAATGAGTTCCACTGTTGTGAACTCAGTAATTTGTTCTTTCAGTAGGTCACTTTATAATAAACAAAACTCGACTAATTCAATCTATAAAAATGTCCAAATGAAAACAGATTCCCACCATATTTTATCCAGAGCTCGAGGTGACGTCTTAAAATGCATTTAATCTGATGAACAGCCAAGAGATTGTTGTCAAGATGTTACAGCTGACATTGACTTTCTCAGCTGCTGATCAACTGTTCTGATATTTAGACTAATAGACTTTTTCACAGCAGTAAAAAGGGGAATTGTTTATATACAAAACATTTAATTAGACCAGTTCCAGGACTCTGATGTCAGCTTAACTGGGGACATTTGATAGGACACGATGGTGTTTTGTCATAATGTCATAATTAATTATTTTGATCATTTTCCATATGCACAGGGCAACATGCCACACTGTACAATGAAATTCTGACTTTGCAGAAACATTATGAACATAAAGATGACTGTAATGATATGTACCTAAAAATAAAGAGCAAACAAGCATTCCCAGAAGGAGTGCCTCCATTGTGTGCATCATTTTCAAGAACACAGCTGTTTATCTACATTTTAATGTTCTCCTTTAACATCTTGTCCTTGCAGGAGTTGGATACGTTGTGTATGAGCTGGTGCAGGCAGCGTATCCTCAGAAGAAAGACTAACTCCTCCGCCCCAGCTGTTTACGTCCACTTCCAGCCGCTCCACATTGTATAGAAAGATATTACTGCGTCTTTCCCGGGCCGAGTGTTACCTGTCAAGGTGCGATATTGTTTCATGTTCATGGGATCAATATTTATTTCTTGTACTCTTTCTTTGATGACCTGAGGATCAATAATAAAGACAAATCTAAATGCCTCTCATGGCTAAAAACCCTGCTCATGGCTCTCGACTCTTTTGTGGATGCAGGTAAGACATCTGGTCTTATGATGGGGGTAGACGATGGGAAAGAGAAATTATTGGATCTGTCATTGGACCAGAGTGTCGACAATAGATCGCTTAATCAATCAACTGAAAATGAATCTTCAACTATAGTTTTGGACATCTTTTGCAGCTTCTTAAATGTGAGGTTCTCAGCCTTTTTCAAGATGGCAAAATCAGATTTGAAACTGAGCAACAAAAAAGAAGCTATTACAACATTCCTCCTCCCCTAGAGTTGCAGCTCTACATTAAAAAAAACCTCCTTATTTGACCTATTAATCCGGAACTCCTTCAGACTGTGCCAATGAAAACTTTAGATACTGAAAATGAAGCTGTGTGTGGAAGGACTTTGAAAAAGTTTGTTCGTCTTCTCTTATTGAGTCCCATGGTTTTGGTGTCATTAGTTTACCTTTTGAAAAATTTGTTTCTGCAATTTCTTTATCCACTTCTACCTTTTGAGGTAAACTGAAACGAATTGTTCTAATGAAACTTCAATGTGTTCCAAAAATGTAAGTATGAGGGAATTTGAGGGTTTGCCTCACAAATGATAGAAGATGAATTTAAAAGCTTGTTATTTGTGTAAACATGTTGAAGTTACAGAAGTATATGACATTCAAAAAACAACTATGAGATGGTCACAATTACAAGAAGAGGTCTTGCTTTTTTTCCCCAGTTTGTGGATGCTGAGAACTTTTGTATAAAGCTGAGCTGGTTAAATATATTAAATTACACTGTTTTGTGCGTCAGAAAACTAGTGCTGTTGGTTTTAGGTGTACCAATGTGCGCTCTTTGGAGACGCACACATGGATCCTGATGCTGCAGGTATTAAACTAAGAGCAATTCGTTCTAAACAGATGGAAGAAACACTTTGACCTCTGGTAGCCTCTTGTGAGGAAAAACACTGATTCTCTTCATTACTGGTGAGCATCATTAGTTTCTGTTTGTTTTCATCACACTAAGGTTTTATTATGGACACTGAATTTTGTTGCCTAATAGATTTGAAATGCGTAAAAAAAAAAAAAAAGTTGTGATTTTGGCTCAAACTGTACTACGCATCACTGAGATGTTTTTAGATGAATATTGGTGCTGAAATGTGGAAACATCCTTCCTTTGATAAGCTCACCAAGCACCGCTGCACGTGTGTTTCTGTTACGGCTCAGTCCACGCTAGTGTTGAAGTTTAATAGAACTGTTGCACATTCACACATGCAGCCAAGTAGTTTACTTGCCATCAGGTCAACGGAACAATGTGAGACTTTTCCACATAAGACACATGAAGAGCTTATAAAATGAGATGTTGTGCCATCAATCAAATTACCCGCGCCTCCACTGTAGCTCAACTGGTTGAGCTGGCGACCCATGTACTGGGGCTATAGTCCCCAATACAGCGGCCATGGGGTTGAATCCCGCTCATGGCCCTTTGCTGCAAGTTCTTCTCCCCCCACTTTCCTGTCTCTCTCTTCACTGTCCGATACAATAAAGGCAAAAAAGCCCCCAAAAATAACTTAAAAAGTAATAAAATCACCAACAGTTATGATCAGTTGATTAATTAGTCAGTTGACTGAAAATTGGCAACTATTGTGACTCTTGTTTCGAGCAGCTGTGATGACATTTCTCACGACTTTCAGATTTGTTTGTTTTTTAAAATTTCTTTTTAACAGACTAAAGTATTTGGTAATTAACTGAGATGCCGACAATGAAGATAATCATCAGCTGAAGTTAATAGTTGAGCTCCACTTCAAGCAACTACAGCAAAGTCCTGCTTTTACATCAATGAAAGACTGATAATCTAATGATGAAAAACAGTTTGACAGTCATGGGGGACATTTTTCTGCACTGAGAACTTGTACTACTCACTATCTTAGTACAGTTTTGGGATTATTCCTTCATACTTAAGTAAGATTTTCAACAAGAATTTTACTTGGGACAGACTACTCGAATATTGGGACACTCAAAACACAATATGCACAGTTATAAAAAAAGGAATATTAGTCGTGTGACACTAGTTGTTTTGGATGCAGTAACAGCTTTTGTGGCACTTTAAAGCATAATGAAGTGAAACAAAAATTGTGTTACGATACAAAAACCTGTGATATGAGCTCTGACCAGTAACCAAACTGGGTCTTACTTTTCCAACTTTGGGAATCTGGGACTCCAACAACAATGTTTGAGCATAGATTTGGTTCACTACGTAGAATTTTGACCTTTAGATGCACAAAACTAATGCAGGTTAACACAACAGTCCTGCTATGAATCCTTTATTCATGATCTTCATAATGTACCCCATCACATATCCTAACCTCTCCAGTGGTTCCTCTTATATATTCTCCTTCTTATTCCCTGTTTACTAATAAAATCACAATGAACTGAGCAAATAATGAGACACTGGTTTGATCTCGTTCCACCATCAGTTCAGTATTTGTCTTTGTAGAAAAGCAGAAAACTATATTTTTTCAGCGGTAACACCAACCTTTCTTCCTTCAACCACTAGAGGGCAACAGTTCCAAAGAAATCGACTGAGGTTTCGGGGCTGATTCACAGATTAGTGTTCAAGGATTAATACTGTCACTCCTAAACTAATCCAATTGTGATTAATTTAGTCTCATTAGGAACTTTGCTGCATCTGTGAATTAAAAATTAAACATCAGCAACAGAAAACCCACCTAGAGTAAAGTTTTTTTGTTTTTTTTTTTGGCATATCTCTTGTTTTTATGTACTTTCTATAATGGCTGGGTTCTTATCTGTTGTAATTTAACCAAGCATGTAGAAAGCAGCCTCGGGCCAGCGCTGCTATCAGTCCACACCCGCCACACATCATTTAACACTTTAAAGTTATTGGATACACAGCAGCTCTACTATCTACATGGAAACCAACACTTATCAGCACTCAGGAATCTGCTGTGTCAGAAAGCACATCTGACCGGACACAGCTGAAAGCCAGAGCCTTGCCGTTACTGCCAGCTGAACATGACGTGGATGTTGTTGTGCAGGTTAAATCAACAATGAGATGATGTTTTATTGATTAGCAGCAGAGTTTGTTGGAAACACGAGCAAGCTGTAGCTCTGGTGAAGGGCCCTCAGCTACCAGGAGGCACCACATTATCTCTTTCTTCTTTTTTTGTTGTGATCTAATGTTTTAGACTGTCTGATTTTGCTAAAAGCATTGACTGCATTAAGAAGCTCCTTCAGAGTTGTTCTGAAGCTCCGAGTGGTGGCTCTGACTGTCGGCACCTTGGTGCTTCTTGACTCCTCTGAACTTCCGGCTAATCAAACAATGAGCAAAGACTTGGAGTGTGAGTGAAGCTGAGGACGGTCATGCAAATATCTTGGTGCCGTTGACCCTCTTGTGACTTTACCCACCAGTCACTCAAAGCAGCCACAACCGTAGATGACATAACTTTAAGTCCTCATATAATTTAAACAGAGAAGTTACACACAAACTCACTCACTGTACAGCAGTCATGAACCAAGAAGTTAACTGAAGAGACCAAAACTGTTTTTTGTTCCATGCTGTAAACATGTTTATTTCTGTTTTAAACCTGGACATCTTAACATGAGGATCTATGAGGATTGACTCACTTTTGGAATCAGTCCCAGGTGGTCATTTGAAGAACTGCATCTTTTGAGCCACTGAGCTTGCTCCTCTGCTGTCAGACAGTGGCGTGACGGATTTTAAGATCACAACAGAGAACTACACGGCTTCATCAAATCTGGGGTTTTTGATGAACTCAGACGAATCAAATTTTGGAGTTTGGAGGGTTAACAAGTAGTTTGCAATTATGACTAACAACCGACATTGAGAGATGACATTTTATAATGTTTCTGTACAAATCACCACATTTGCAATTATGACAACTAACATTTGTGGGGATTCTTACAAATTGGGAGTCACTGACACAATAGAAAAACTATAAAATACATATTATTGGTACTACCATATAGGGGAAGACTTTGGGAATTTGACCAAATGGGGAAACCAAGACTTGGCATTCCAACACCCTTTAATGAAGTTTAGATTATACCAGCTGGATGGGATGATTCAGCACGATAACAGCTAAACAATCTAAGGGTTGCTTTTACAAACAAGTGTTGGATGATGAGATGTCAGGGGGAAGTGCAGTGCATTTGGAGATTTTGGTGCAATTTGACATTTTTAGGAAGTTGTGACCAATTTTAGGAGAATAATCATCAAGAATGTCAAAGCAAATTTCACTAGTGACACTTTCTGAGGGGAGAATGTGAAGTATGGAGAATTTTGACACATTTTTAAAAACATTTTTTAAAGTTGGGTGTATGGAAACTATAACACATTTTAGGATACTTTAACTACTTGACTTCTAAAACCAATATATCAGATTTGAGGAGGATTCTAATTTGGATTATTACCATGTTCAAATGTAGGACATGCTGGCATTTTGGGATGCTTTAACAAAGCTGAGAAGGGAATTGCACACTCATAATATCCTTTCTTTCTGTATGACGCTGCACATAACGGGTATTCCTAGAGTTTTGAGTCATTTGTCCTAAAGCGCAGTTGGGGCAGCTGTTTGTGCTTCATGAAATCCTGCTGGGACCCCAGAAACTTCTGCTGCGGCCCTGAACGCCAGAATGATGCATTAAAAGGGAAAAGACTGACTTGGGGGTTTAGTTTACTACTCTGTGTAATATTTTCCCATTGATTCATGAGCCGAAAAAGGGGCTAAAAGCCTCTGACAGTTTCCCTCCACTGATCCCCCTCTTCCCGAAAAGCAGTTGTGCGCTGCTGTCTCCTTGCGGCCGAGACGCACAGAAGCCCATCAGCGGAAAGGAATGCAGAAAACTATGTAAAAGTTTCCGAGTGTGTGAGTTCGTGTGTGTGAGTCTCTGTGTGTCTCCCAGCATTTTCGGAGGTTACACATCACTTTTTGGCCCGGCTGGATGTCGTAAGAGCTCGCGGCGGGGCAGGCAGAGCTGGGAGCAGCCCCCCTGTTAAGTAGCAGATTGTGTGGAGAGTCTTCCCACTTGGAAAGAGGCTCGCCGACGCGTCTGGGAACCAAAACCCGCAGAGCTCTCTGACTTCAACACCGGACCACCTCACTCTCCCCTTTTTCAGGCTTGGGGGTCTACAGCAAAGGCTTAAACTTTTTTTTATTGGTAATTTTTTTCCATCAAAACTAAAGAAATTCCACCAGCCTCCTCTATAGGTCAGTCCTGCATGGTTTTTGATTTTTCTTCTTCTTCCTTTTAGGTGAATTCATTTAATCCCGATTTCAGTTATTTCAAATCTACATGCAGAGTTATTGCTAAAGGGTATATTCTCTTAAATTCCTGTTGAAGTCACATTGATTTGGAATATTTCGAGAAACGCGTGGACTATTTCTTAGCACTGCGGTGCGTAATTGCGCACGGCGCCAGAGTTTGATGCGCCTTTATTCTGCAGTGGAAAGACTTTGTCTCTATCAGAGTGCGTGCGTCTCATCAGGCGGAGATATTAGATGCTTGATTGGAGTCTTTGCAGAGTAAATGCATCAGAATTCCAGCTCCAGTAGAGAGGAGTGGAAAGGAATCTAACGCAGCGAGAGAAAATACCGAATTTCTTTTGCGCGCCTTTATTCCAACAGGTCTCCACTGAGTTCAATGGGCATTGCTTTTTCTTTAAATCTATTCAGTTGTGGGTTTTTGGACTTTTAGTCATTTGTCTATATAAAGTCTGTCACATAGTCATTTTTTGGCAACTTAACGACGAATTTGTCGAGCGCCAAGATCCTGGAAATATGACTTCATATAAGTTCTGAAAGCTGCGTTTTATTGCGGCTTTGAAGCAACGAACAGATTATGTAATTTAAAATGAAGATGAAGTCAGATCATTAAGCTCTAGGATTCACGTTCAGGTAGCATAAAGGTCTTGTGAAGCCCTGAGGCTGCTGCGGAGCTGCAAGTCTAACCGCCTCCTTCGTTCCTCTCGCAGCTTCATTCATGTGCTGCTGAGCCAGAGGAGCTGAAGATGAAGAGCAGGCTGTCTCTGGCGGCGGCGGCTGCCCTCCTGGCGCTGCTGCTGTCCTCCTCTCAGGCCCAGAACCAAGGTAAAGCCGATCCTCCTCCTCCTCTCTGTGATCCAACACATCTGACTTCCAACTCCTCTCATCTCTGTCTTTCCTCTGCCTGCAACTTGTAGCTGCATATTCAGCCTGAATAAAGAAACTTCATCGTTAAAGCAAATGTGTGCTGGTGACTTGATTTGTTTTAACTGATTTGCCTTTTCAGCCTCAATTTAAACTTTGATTAGTGATGGTTTTCTTCACTCCAATAACCTGCTTTTTCATCAGGAATTTCTTCTTCAAGAAAAAAAATCCTCAATTTCAGATGTCTGGTTTGAATTTATGGATACAAGCCTTTTTTCCTCAAGCCAGTAGCAGTTTTTAAAGCAGCTTAAGGAAAGTATGTGACTTGTTAAGCGCAGTGATGTATTGGAATGTAGCTGAAAATTACTTAATAAGACACCGTATGAAGAGAAAGGAAGTTATACTGCTAGAAAAACTTTGCTTTTATCCCTAAAAGATAACAAATGTCTAGACAAACAGTCTAGTTCTTCTTCTTCAATGTTCAGTCATTAAAGACAGTCAGCTCCTTTTCAAAAAGAAAAAGAAACAGTGAAAAGCAGTTATTTTAGTTTTACTGCATCCCCTGTGAGGGTGCTGGATAAGTAGGACATCTCCTCATCCTCAGATGTAGTTTGATCTCTCCTACACCAGGAGGGGCCCTTGCTCAAACTCTCTGACTGTCCCTTACTACAGATTACATTTCTCCAGTTTCAAAAACGAAGAAAAAAAAAAAAAAGGAAAAAGCTCAGACGGAATGTGGCCAAGTTTCCTCCCTACGTCCTTTCTCCTGATGGAAAGACAAAATATGAGTTTCACATTATTTTCCAGAGGTTTTAGAGGTTAGGAGAGGAGAAAGTTGGCTCCACTGCATCTCTGGATTCTCTCAGATTAAAAGATGAAGAAGAAGATGAAGAAGAAGAAGAAAGCTCAGTGAAGAATCTTCCTCCTCTGTCCTTCCAGGAGGGTTTGTGACCCGCCGTGACCTTCCACTCTTTAATGACCCAGTGGAGGCCCTCGCTGCCATCCCAGGGGTCACGGCACAGCAATGGGGTCATGTATACTCTATGCGCGAAATAGTTTGACATGTTGGGACCAAAGTTAGAGGCTCCAACACCTTGAAGATAAAATGAAGGACTCCAAACTGAAAGGGGCTCTGCTGTAAACTCACACATTTCAAGTGAATAAATGCAGTTTAGAGCTGAGCCCCTTGATGTCAAAAGCTTTAAAGAAGAGCTTTAAGATGTGGAGTGTGGATGGTGTGTGTGTGTGTGTGTGTGTTGCTGGAGTTTTTCGGGTAGTTTTTGGCTGCAGTAGACCCGTTTGGAAACAGAAGCAGCAGCCCTCGGCGCTTGAATTGATTCACCAGGTTGGTGGCTCCTCCATTTTCGACGTCCTGTAACCCTCCCGGTCAAGCCTCGACCAGGTCTGCTGACCGCAGTCTTGGCTTCACGACAATATTTTACAGTGATATTCTTCACCCCCACACTAACAGACAAACTGGTTGGTGGTGTAAAAACAATCACAGGCTAATCCTTCATGTCCAGCTAGATTATATATGTGATTTGTGTGTTTGTTAGTTTAGAGTTTTATAAGATGATCCAAAACTCCGGAGCTCAGATTACCTGCTGCGAACGTGAAGATTGAGAATACGGCACGGGATTATCATGTGACCACTTGTGTGTAATGTGAGGTTGTGAGATGTTCAGGCTACTTCAGTTCAGCTTCGTCCGTAGATATTATACATTTTTCTTAAAGTCAACAAATTCCATAAAAAAGCAAAAGCAACAGTGAATGTATCTGATTGTGTACATCCTCATACAAGCTATTCGTCCTTGCCATAGAGCAATTTAGAGAAACAGAGAAATTTAAAAAACAAAACAAAACACTGTTGCGCTGACTGACATTCTTTCATTATGATGAACATGTGCACCATATATTTTCTTCTAATACGGTTTCCTGCTGACTCAAACAGTCACTGCAGAACCAAGTGTGCATTAATCTGCCACTAAATACAGTCCTGAATACACTGTTCCCTCATGTGCGTTTGCTAAAAACTACATGACCAGTTGTTTTAGGAAATAACTGAGCTTTTATTTGAAATGAAACTATGTATTTGAGGACTTTTTTGTGGAATTTATTGACAATAAAGAAAAATTAGAGAACATTATTACCGTTTAATACGGAAAAACGTCGACAGGAAAGTGCACGAAGCCATTTATTCTCGTTTGTAGTCATCATGTACTCTTAAGATTGTAAATCAGTCTCATAATTAACCAGTCCCTTAATTAATTTTAGGTCTTGTTGATATTTTCTACTCTTATTAAGAGTCTTTTAAAAGTGAGTCCGCGCCATTAAGACAGCATAAAAAGCGTATGATGTCATTATAGCAAGCTAGAGAGGCAGACAGACGGCGATGATCTCCACCCCAACCTGAAGAATATCATTTTAAAATATTTTTAAAAAACAGTCTGTGGTCCTTTGTGTACATGGAAACTTTTTGTCTCTTACTCCAAGTTGTTGTAAACAACTTTTCATGTACACATGCATGAACGTCCATGTCAGTGATCACAATTTTTTTTTTTGTTCATTTTGTGTATTTGTTGTCGCAAACACCAGTGGTTCTTAAACTACGATCCAGATCCTACAAGGGTTTTCATGTGATCAAGGGACATATTTGTCTTGAGCAACAGTAGTTTAAGAACCTCTGGTGCAGATTTTTTTGGGAAACCTGAGCAAAAAGAAAAGATGTACACGTGTCTGCACTGACACTGTGTATTCTTTTATGAGGTTTGCAATGGAGACAATGCTCAGATCTTCATCCATTGTATAATCAATACTACAGAGTTTTGTTTTTGTCAATTCAACGTCCTGAGTTGGATTGAGGTCATGGACAGTCTGCTGGATGTCATTCTGTCCATGTTGTAAGTCTGTTGACAGAAGGGGAACTTTTAATCTTTATTAAGTGGCTGGTGATTTCCACAATTTAAATAAAGTCTTCCACTGCATCACCAGCTAAAGTGACCTGTATGGAAGCAAAGACGGGCCATAAATACGTACAGTTTTACAAGCAACTATGTGACTATTGAATAAACAATGTTGAACTTCTAACACTGCTGAGTTCAGAGCATTGAAATGCTTCAGGTTGAAAACTATTTGAGTTTATGTGGTTTAATCTCCTCTCTTGATTTTTTTCAAAAACATGATTTGTCTGTATAATTAGAATTTCAACAACATTTCAGTTTAAGCCATACCTTCACCTGATTGGGTCATGTGACTTACAAGTAACAACCCGATTGGACAGTGGTTTGATTCATTCTATAAGCTTTTATTAATGGTCTTTCCTTATCCTTCATAATGAAGGTTGAATCTTCCATTTGGGCTTTGAAGCCTTAATTTCACCAATCCAATACGAGCAACTAAACTTTTAAATCTTAAACTGACCACATGCATGTGAACAAAAACATTTTACCATTGGAAACTTTAATTTTCTGTCTCTTTGTCAACCGAAAATTGCAAAAATAAAAATCCAAGATGGGCGTTCAAACCACATTTTTTCATAAAGATGTTTTCCTGAGTAACTTTTTCTCACGGCTATAAATCCAGTGGGATTTAAATGTCAACATTTGGTCGTGATTCCAACGAAATGTGAGACACAATTGGTTTCATGAAATTCACTTTGGCCTTTGCTGGCTTCCGTAGATCTGATCACAGCCAAATTTCACCAAAGTTTCCAGACTCCCACCCCGTTTGTGTTTCCCTCTTAGACGTTCTAAACTGTGTGAAGGTAGCGTTGTGTTGTTCTGTTGTGTTGTTGTCTCAGTGTGTTGTTGCTTGAGTTGCCGACTGTGGCTGTCGGCCACACGAGCTCAAACGGAGGTCATTTTTTTTTCTTTTTCCATAAAATGGCTTTCCTCACATCTGTAGTTTGGTGTGTCTTGTGTTGTTTGTTCCAACAGTGAACGTGTCTAACTTCATCCTGGAAGTGTTGACTGTTGGGAAGCCGCTTTTATGCTCAGCATTACAATACATGTAGCTCCTAAAGCCGGAGGATTAACTGTGTTGATGTTTTGTCTTCACAGTGGACGCTCCGTCAGATTTGAGGTTTAAGATTTTAAATACAAACACAGTACAAATGATCTGGAGCAGACCGCGGTCGAGGATACAAGGCTACAGAATACAAGTGACCTCAGACACAGGTGGGTGCTCATTAAACCTGCGAGTTCTGTCCTGCAGAGCCCGTAACATTACAAGTGCCATAAAGTCTCTAACACATCACTCTGCCTGCCTTGCAAGACTCAACACTGCCTGCAATTATCTGAAGATTTCTGCAGACACATGTTTAGCTCCGGGAGCTCTAATGATAAAGAAAACATTATGTATGGATAAGGGTAATCATCAGGTGGCCGTGCTAATTCACCAGCGCTGCCATAGCAAATAGTCAGTGTTGGTTTAGCTCAGGAGTGTACATGCCACATCTGTCAGACTGTTCATTTAACAGCTGAGATGGTTTAAAGGAGCTGCTGCAGTCATTTCAGCCGCCTTAAGACTTCACCCTGATAACAGCCAACAGTGCATGCCAACATACTTTTGTGTGCTTTGGGTCTGGAGATGTTTAAAGAGAAGACTTGATACTTGAGTATATAAGACTAAGTCAGAGTTTAGTGCTGCAGACTTTGTTGCATCGTTGTGAGAAATTGTTTTTTCATGTTGTTTCTACATGTAGCCCCCATGCACCGCAACAGGAAGTGTTCACATCAGTTTTTTCAATAATTTAAACTCGGCCTACTTAGACATGAGAAAATATTCACTGAGTGGAGCGTCATGCATCATTAGCACCACTAAGACTAGTTCTTCCATCAATATAAATATGTACAAATACATTTTCACACCCAGGAAATGGTTACATTCTGATAGCTAACTTAACTAGCTACCTCACAGAGCCAGTTAGCTTGCATACACTTAAAAACTTAGCGGTGTAATTGTTATGTTGTTTTAGCAAACTAACAGACTTAATGTTAGCCTGTATATTTACATGTGTTATTCGCCCACTGTAGCTCTGACATTCTGCTGTCTGACAGGATTAGTGTTAGCTTGAATGAATTCAAAAACTCACTACACTGTTAGCTTACTGAAGTAGCTAACCGACATAACTAATATTAGCTCACATATTCACGTTCAGTAAGGGCCTGGCGTATCTGTGACGCATTGTTAGCGAAGCCACACAGCTAATGTTAGCTTGCATATTCACATTTAGTTAATGCCGCATGTAGCATAACTGCTACATACTGTGGACAGAACAAAACGTTGGCTGCTGATATTACTGCTAATCACTGGCGAGTACTAAGGTAAAGTACAGATAACTATCTCGCTCAGTATCTACTCTTTGTGGGGGTTAATGGC